ATATTATAATAATAAAATTATAAAACAAAACAGAACGATAACAAAGTTTTACTTTTTGATATAAATTATTAAAATATTAAGAAAAACAAATTATGTTATATACCTTTATATTATTCATTAATTATACTTAACAATAAATAACTTTTTAATTCTTTTGAAACACATACTAAGCCTGGCAGAAATAACGAACACCTTAGGCGCTTTGGTTTAATTATAAGTCTTAGACAATATACATGTATACATGTATACATGTCATATTATCATCTAAGCAATTGGTATTATTAAAATAAACTGCCAAGCAGAAAATAAAAATAATATCACATTCTAAAACTGAAATATCAATATCACTGAATTTTTAATACGTTTACTTATTACACTAGAAATTACATTAAATGACTTTTTTTTCATATTTATTTCATATAATTTTAAACATCTACTCAAAATAATTAATACAAATAACTATAATGATCACAATTACAATTATTTTCATATTACACAGTCTATTAAACTTATCTAAACTCTTAGTCCAAACTTAATTTTCACGTTTAAAACGTCACTTTGGAAGAAACAAGTAGTAAGGATGAAGCCTACCTATATACTATATTATTATAATCTAGTGATGAAGCATAGCAACATCGATTACAGCAAAGACAGTATTCAGTATTCACTCAGACAGTATCGAATATAGTAAGAGGAGATACAACACAAAATATTGTTCCAATTACATTGCTAACATTATCTAAATTATTCGTACCGCACTAATAATTAAATAAGTTTGTTTCCTTATATATAATGCATGACACTATTTTCTTTGTATATTAATACAGTTTTTGTTCCATACCACCTCTTTTAATTATTCCCTAGATATTATCTTCTTCAAATTAATCGCTTGAGAAATCATAATATCGCTTAAACAAAAGTTACAGTAATGTGTTTTCTAAATGTTTGACTTCAATTATTTCTGGACAATTTATTTACATCACATTCCGGTTTTACAAAACTTTTTTAAATTTTAAATAAATTCAAATTTCAATTTCCTCGCCATTCATTTCGTTTCAACCTTTCAGTCTAATTTTTTAATCATTGCAAAAAATGAATATAGTAATCACTCTTATTACCTTCTACTTAGTTTGTAAGTATTTAAACGAATAACAGCTTATATAGAAGTTTAAAAAAAACTACTATTTTTGAAAGAATGGTTATTTCTCGCCTGTTATACTAGGTTCATAGACCTTATTCTTGTGTTTACTTTCCTTATTCTTGACTAGCCTCATTTGCTGCTAATCTTCTCTTACTCCTCTTAATGTGAGGCTATTATTAATATAACTTTTATATTCTGGTTGTACTATTCTAAGCAATCAAATCGAAAATTTAAAAATTACCGCATATTTCTTAACTATAATTTAGATATAATAGAAATCTGCTCGCACCATATATTGAAAATATAAAGCCTAAAGGGACTTTTTTCAACTGGTTTACTGGAATACATTCTCATAAATGGTCTAGCTTATTATGTCTACCGCTTGCCTACCCGCAACAAGGTACACTATTGCGATACCATGATAACGAACTCGTTCCATGACTACTATTAACTGTACTTACTACTGTAATCATGATGGTAATACTGTAAAAAATCTCTAATAATGTCTGTCATAAAAGAGGCGAGTTATTTAACATGGTACACGCGATGGAATCTAAAAATATTTTTATATAATATTTTCGAATGAGGTTGAAATTTGGTCTCCCATTTGGTCTAACAATTGTGCGATAACATTTTGTTTTGATGACTTGTGAATGATTTTATCCTTTGTTTATTATGTTTATAAATGAGTAACGTCGAAATATCACTTATTTGTGGTATGTAAGTTATTTAATTGTAAATTACTAAAATGTAAATTATTTAAACTCGCAAGCGTATTTAATTTGAACTCAACAACACCTGCAGTCAATACCTACTCATGTCAGACGGAAAATATAATTTTATTGTCATTAAATAATTTATGCCCGCAACAAAACAAATCTTCAAATGCGTTAATCAAAACGTTCTTAATGGGATAAACGATTTAAAATTTAAATGTTTAGTTTGTTATTGTTACCTATCCAATCGTAATTGTAAATATACGATAAAACCAATATTACTTAGGCCGGCTTTGGAAAAATGTTATGTATGCATTATTTTCTAACTTATGCTAATGGTTAATACTGGTAAGTCCATAATACCGCTTTAAAAGTTTGGCACTAGCGTTTGAATGAATAAACAAAGAGCATCCGTTAATTTAAAAGTAAATTCTTAGGCCTATCAAGTCAAGACCACTTTTACGTCAATGGATCGATGGAATTTATAGCAAATAATTTAATTCGGAGTTTGGTACTTGTAATAAATAAATAAATGTTATTGTCTGCATTCCGATAAAACAATTTTTGATGGTTTTATTATATCATAAGAAAATTTAAACCAAAACTTAAAAAGAAAATAACTGTTTAATTTTATTAACGGCTATCTTTGGCTATACCCGTACTTTAATGAACTTAACAACTAATCTTTGGTTAACAGTCGTTGAAAAATAATTATTAAATCAATTTATATGACAGTCCTTAATGGCCAATATATATTTACATGTAATTAATAACATTATTTTTCGTTTAATAACATTATGTATTGAAACATTTATGAAGTCTATCGTCGTTTTCTTCCAAGAATTCCCTATTAGTAGGTGGTTTATTTCAGATCCGTATATTGTACAAATGCTTCGATTGCTTTATTTTATGGAATGTTTTTTAATTATCAAGCAATGATGGATGCTTTCAAATGTTATGTATGATTTATAGCAACTATTTTGCTGGATCTATTGACTGCGCGGTGGTTGTACACTGATCCTTATTTCACCGGTCGGACCTACCATGATTTTCACCTGTAAAATAAAAATTGCAAATAATTAAATTTATGATTTATGATCATTATATTAAAGTATCACCAAATCATTATATTTATATATTTTATTTTATGTAAGTGCTGGTTATAAAAGTTTTTTAAACAATTTTAAATTAAGAAGCTACGGTTTTACCAATATCACGGTGCATTTTTGGTTCAAGTGGTTCCGGGCGATAACCCATGCTACGAGTATGCCACTGTATGTTACGGCGGCTCTTCACGTTGGCCAACACACTGGCGAATGTGTTGGCCAACAACGATGGCCATCGTGTAGAGCGGGTGTTTAAGCTACGTTGGTACGTATTGGAACGATGGCCCACAAGTTGGCGCGAGACGGCGGCTCCTCACGTTGGCCAACACACTGGCGAATGTGTAGGCCCACAACGATGGCCATCGTGTAGAGCGGGTGTTTAAGCTACGTTGGTATGTATTGGAACGATGGCCCACAAGTTGGCGCGAGATCCGTGTGGTGTCGGTTTTTTGCAAAAGATCAAAGGATTGTGGCAGAGTATTGGCCGTCGCGTCCACAAGTTGGGCGCACGTTCAGTTTGCCACGAGCTCCCAGAGTGATTGCACGCACCTGATTTAAATTTTATATGCACGCATCGTAACTAGTGTCTACATAACGGCAGTAACAATGACCAATGAAAAAACTTTTCGCTTTATAGAGCCCTACCAAGCCGAAAATTGTTTGTAAAACACAAGTCTTTTAAAAAAAAATGTTGTTATACACTAGGATTTTCTCCTGTATCGTGGAGGCAGTTTAGAAACATAAATTGCATTAGGACAAACATCCAGACCCGGAGAAATTATGTGCAGGCTATACAAATACTTGTTCCGTGCGGGATTCGAACCCGCGGCCCCCAGGGCAGCAACTCATTGCTAAGCCACTACGCCACGGAGCCGTCAAGAAATAAAATTTCTTTTTTCCATTTCTTTTTGTCACCCTTATCTTATACACATTCACGTTGTAGTGATTAATTGTGTATTAATTTATTTATTGATGTACTAATTGATTTATTAAATATCTTAAAATATATAATATATATTAAAATCAAATTAAAAAGTAGGATACTAAAATCATGTTTTTACTGTCTTTATTATTCCCTATTAGTTACTTTATTTCGTTAATACTTCTGTAATTTTTAGCTATGGAAGAGCGAAGTCACCTGTTACAGGCATTATTTTGCTGACTAGGTGACCTCGATCACTGATCATGTAATGTAACTTTAATGTTTGACGAAATAAATTATTTATTATTATTAAGTTTTATTCTATAATTATATAATAAGAATAACCCTTTTTAAAAAGGTTTTGTTTAATAAAATTTGTCAACAGTTTCATAGACAGGCTTCGAATATTTTCCAGGCCTTAGTTGTAAAAGTGTTAATTATACCTATGCCTAGGTGTGTTAATGTTTATATAGTTCACTTATCTGTATAACGTTAGTGTATAATAAAGAAATATTAAAAATTTATATTAAGAATATTAAATATTAAAAATAGTGAAAATTAAATAAAAAATAGTGGTATGCTGTGAATAAATAAATGGCAACAGCCGTTAGCGAATCAATAATCATTTTAATAAATTCGTCCGCACATTGGCATGAACCGAAGCAAACTGAACGACCTTCCAACGTGTGGACGCGATCACAAATTCTTGGCCAATATCTCTGCCAATACATTCGCCACTATGTTGGCCAACGTGAAGAGCCGCCATTAAACGAACTTACCAGCCTATAATTTATTATTTAGTAACTTAGAAATATTGCCAGATCTATTGTACTATTTTTTATTATTTTTATATTTAATATTTTTATAGGTTATTATTTTTTTCTTCATACTATTGTGTATGCTTAGCAATACGGTTAATTAAACTTACGCTTTTAATTAACCGTATTGCAAATTATAGGTACAAAAAAGTTACAAAAAAAAATTAATGATAATCTACTTTTGTATCTAACGCTGTCAAAATAAAATGTAGAAAGGGGATTTGCCATATTCATATTTGGTGATATTTTTTTTATTTATGCAATAAGCAGTTGAAAAGAGATTACCTAGTCCCCTCGTCAGACGTTCATTGCATAATAAACTGGATTTGGAGGTGGCGCCATTGGCGAAGTGGCTGCAGGAGCTTGCCCTGCAGTTGCTGCTCCTTCGGGAGCTCCTCTAACGGCTCTGGATGGTGACCCGGGAGCTGGTTGGTAGAGTGGCGCGGCCACCTGGTCACAGAACAATTAGTTTTCTTCAATTCCGTTAATATACTAAAATAGCATAGAGTGAAAATAGTATTATTGTCAAAAGTATACTGCAATTTGTTACATAGGCTGCACTAAAAGTATCGGGAATGGAATATTTCCACTGTTCCTGTCATATTAATTTTTTTTAAATTGAAAACTCCTTGGTTTTAAAATTCGAATACCGTTTATTTATTTAAAAATTGTGACAATTTTAATACTATTTAATGTTTTAGTTTGATGTATATTCTTACTTTTTCTTTGTTGTGTTAGATTATCAATGAAAAGAGTCAGTGCGAAAAAGAACGAGCGTAGACCTTACAGTACACCTAATATAGCTAGCGCAAATATTAGGTTCTGTGGTAGAGCTTGAGGACGCTCGGTTTCGTTGTATTTTCTTTACATATAGTGGCTATAAAGATACGAAAATAACATTATGATTCAATAAATAAAATATATTTACGTGATACGCTGTTTTGTTTTTGTATTTCATAAGTATTGAAAATATTTTAGCTTCGATTTACTTTTTAGTTTACTTTTTCGCCACGACGGGCGCAGTGATTTTCTTTCCGCACCACTGACCTTTATATATATAGGTATATACAAGTACGCTGGACTGGCTATGCCATACAAAATGCTTACGCCGATTTGAAGCGCCCTCATTGTCCGTACCGGGAACTAAAAGACATAATATGCCAAAGTCTGTTGATTTATTTAAATCGTATCTCTGTATTTTGAATTTTAAACTAAAAAATTAAAGTGTTTTATTACATAATAAGAATTCTTTTTAGTAATAATGAGTGTGCGTAATGTGTAAAACTCGTTACCAAAATGAAAGTGAGATAACACTCCACAAGTAAGTGAAATTGCAGCTAATATTAAGCAAATTAAAACTATTTGATAATATTGGCACTTAAAAATTTGTTACTAATCTTAATATCGTAATTAAAAACATGTTTGGCTTTATATTACTGAGTTTTGCAATAAAATTCAATAGGGTTGTCGAGTTCCTTGTCTATAATACTTATCGATTTCTTTCTACCCATATCTGTTCACAACCAAAGTCTCCGACAACAGATAATTATCAAATGTTTATTAATTAACAGGTTTTCAATCGAACCTAGACTAAAATTGTGGCTAAAAAGCACAAAAATTGTGTATTGCCGTCCGAAACAAAATGATTATCTTTATTCTAAACACTTCACAGAAGACTGTTTTAATGGACATGAGACACGCATCACTTTGAAAAAGTGCAGTATACACACAATATTTTCTGGTAGTAGCCGTGGCTTGGTAACCCATGGTAAACGTAGGGCGACTCACACGGCTGGCCCGAAGTGAAGGGCTGGCCTAAGGTGGCCACTCTGAGTGTGCTTGTCGAGCCCTTGGATGTGTGTTAGTGAGCTGCGGCTAGAGGAGAGCCGTCTCTCTATATATCGCTGCAGCCGAGGTGGCGTCGCAAGGGAAGATGATTGTTGGTATGGTAATGCTCCAGTCGACTATCCTCCGCGACTTTGGCGGAACTATACCACTTGGTGCTTCCGAGTGCTCGTTTTTTCTTGGCTCCAAGGCCTCAACATATCGGGCTCGGGAAGTCGGGGAGGGAAGTCCTTAACTAAGGAAGGGTCCTCGCTGGTGTGGCCACGAAAGTCCTTGAAAGCGTTTCCGAGGCCCTGTCAATGTGTTGTGAAGGTGGAACACCATGGTGTTTTAGTAGGTGCAAGTCCGACATAACCCGGAACAAAATCCGTTCTGTAGTTACGAATAAAAACGTAGATAATTCAACGCAGCGTCGATTCTCGTTTTATATGAGGTATGAAGCGCGCGTCTAAGGTCTAGGTATTAATTCATTTATTGTTTAATTATTGATTAATTATATTTATTTATTGTATAGCATTATATTATTATAAATATAGAATTCTTATCGATATATTTTTTCACACTTTCTTATCTCTATTATTAGTACCATGGATGTTCACTTTTGCTGTCAGCGCCAAAATGATCGTATCCTTTCCAGTTCAGTAGCTTGAAAAGGTCTTCCAATGCAGCGGTGAAGAGTTTCGGGGATATGACGCCACCCTGTCTTATACCTCTCTGCAATCGGATAGGTTTCGTACTCTGGTTCTGTTCTCGGATAGTCATCGTAGCCCTACTGTACAAACACTTCAGCACTTTGATATACCGACAGTAAACTTGGCCCAAATTTGGACGGAATCAAAAGGTTTCTCACTGTCCATATACGCAAGACAAAGTGGTAGATTGTATAATTTGCGGAAAGGTGGTAAAGCCTTTTCGGAAACTGGTTTGCTCGGGAGTCTGGAAGTCGTCGCCACCGCCGCCGGGTATTGGGTACCGTCTTTTTGTAACTGTCGCCGAGGGCGGGTATATTTTTTGTTAACTTATTATAAGCCAGTGCTGAGCCACAATCTCACCGGGGGGTAAGTGGCGATGCAGCCCTAGATGGTAAATCGCACTGTCTTAGCGTAACAAAAACCTATTAACTCTTGCCTTGAAGTCTCCCTGATTGTCTTAGGACGGAAAGATAGACGCCGGCAAATTATTCCATTCCTTTGCGGTACGCATTACAAAAGACAAAACAAACTGTTTGGTTCTAATGCATGGAATATCGGCAACAAAGCGGTGAAGACCCGCTGATCGCCTGGTTGTCCGATGGTGGAAATGAGAGGGAGGAATTAAAGCGTGTTATTTCTGCGCACACTCACCGAAATGCATTCTACAGAATAACGAGATACTGGCTACTCTGCGCTTGTTCTCGAGGTTGACAAGATTGGTTTCAACTAAATCAAGGTCACCAATGAGCCTCTTAGCACGTTTCTCCACTGAGTCCAACTCTGCCAGTTGGCTTTTTGGAGCACCAGCTCATATGTGACAGCAGCACTCCATGCATGAATGGACTTGCGCTTTATATAAGGTGAGCACCTGCCCCAGCGTGAAGTACCGCTGCACCCTTTCAAGGACACCAAGTTTCCTTACGGCTGCTTTAGCTTTGGACTCAATGAACCGCCCATAGATGAGGTTCAGAGAAAATTCAACCCCTAACAACTGAAGGCGGTCAGTGTACTCCAAGGGTACATTCTGGAAAACGGTGCCATCGTAGCCATCGTAGCTCTACTGTGCAAACACTTCAGCACTTCGATATACCAACAGTCTACTTGGCACCGCTGAAGGGACTGCAGCACCGCCCAAATTTCGACGGAATCAAAGGCTTTCTAATAGTCCACATACGCCAGACATAGTGGCAAATTGTACTCCACGGACTTCTGTACAATTTGTCGAAGGATATGTATGTGGTCAATGGTGCTAAAGCCCTTTCGGAAACCGGCTTGTTCGGGAGGCTGGAAGTCATCAAGTCTGCGCGCGAGACGATTCGTAATGACTCTCGAAAACAGCACGTAGACGCGGCTCAGAAGGGAAATCGGTCTGTAGTTCTTCAAGAGAGCGTTGTCACCTTTCTTGAAGAACAAGACCACCGCACTTCTGCTCCACGCCTCCGGTGTAACGCCACTATGGAGGACGGAATTAAAGAGCTTCTGAAGGACTTCAAGTACCGGTCTTCCACCCGCTTTCAGAAGCTCCGCTGTAATTCCATCCTCGCCTGGGACCTTGCCGTTTTTAAGGTGCTGGAGAGCCATTCTAATGTCGCTCAGACTGACGTCCGGGATATCTTCGGAATAGTGTCGGATAAGACTCGCTCTTGAATCGTTACTCACACTTACGTGTGGCTCCAACGATGACGTGTACAGCTGCCCATAGAACCTCTCAATCTCACTCAAAATCTCAGGTGCCCCGGAAACGATGCTGCCACATTCGGTCTTCAGCTTTGACAGTTGGCTCTTTCTGGCAGACAGATCTCTGGCAAAGACTTTGGAGCCTTGGTGTCGCTGGATCGCTTCTTCAATACAAGCTGTATTGAAGTTGCGTAAGTCCCGCCGCATGCATTTGGAGATTATGAAGATATTATATAGGAGAATATAACATACCACAAATAAGAAAATAAAGAAGAAAACAGATATTTCTGTTTATTCACCGCTATATTAAATTTATTTATATTACAATTTTTTAAATTTTTTTTTTAATTATATTGCCATAGTTGCTTCGCTTGGCGAGCTGGTTATCAGAAAGACACTGCTGCCCATTTTCTGCCTCTGTTTACCTCTGTTGCCTCTTATGACACCCACGATAAGTAAGTGGGGTAGTGGATATTCTTATCCACCACTATACGGAGGTAAAAGTTAAGGTAAAATATTTTATTACATTATCAAAATTTACATTCTTTTTCTTTTCGATAGATAAATGTATACATAGATAATGGAAAGATTAGTTAGTCGCGCTTGGCTCATTGTGGACCTTAGTAAATTTTATGAACTTCAGTTTTGAAAAGCTTTTTTCACATGAAGCTACCGAAACACAAATAATAAAAAAAAAATTTAGACACAGTGCTAGATTCGGAACAGACTTTACGAAAAATCTGAGAAGCTCCAATGAAGTCCTACGGTAATATGGGAATATGCGTCGGTTATAAACAAATCACTGATTGACCTGTTTCACTTTCAATTGACCTGAATCATTGATTGTAACTCACTCGACCGAGCGCTACCTAATGAACTTATTTATATAGGACATAAATTATTAATATTAGTAAATAAAAATAAATTTGTGATACATATTAAGATATAATATTTGTATGCAGGTTGATACTATAGTAGGTAGCTATTTATTTATTGGTATGTCTTTGCGGAGTAATTCTTTTGTAAGTATTCTTTGGCTGTGCGAGTGAGTTGTCTTTGTCACCCCCTGGTGCTTGACACCCGGGGCGGACCGCCCAACCCCTCCTCCTTTACGCCACCATTGATGGGTACAGTATCGTTTACTGTTTCATCTCCTTAAATATTGTAGATGTTTAAATCTGCATCCTGTATAATATTTTTATCGATAACACCAATCGATAAACGTTGTCAACCACTAACTTATTTGGTGACGTTAATGGATAACAGAAGGCGCTTATTACAATACATATTGATAAATGTTCTAGAACAATATATGTACCAGAAATAATTGAGTAAATATACATTATACTTGCGATAATAAACCAAAATCACATTCAGTTTTTCCTACATATCGGGACTTATAATACCTTAATGCACAATCGGGCATATTTTCTTCAAAAATATTTTTTTTAAATTTAGGAAATTAATGCGTCTTGACCTTTTCACGATGTCACTAAGACTAAATGACTCAAATCCGAAATATATCCTATAAGAAATAAATAAGAGGTGACCATTTTGTTGCTGATGTCTGGTCTATTACTTAAATGTCTTTGTTGTCTTTGCATAGCATACAATTCCGTGAGTAGTTCTGTGTATGACGGGTGGATGACTTTTATCATATCTTGTGACAATAAATATAAATTTGTAATATGATAATGAACTACTAAATGAAATAATATGAACAGCAAGTATCGTTATAATCACTTACTAGGATTTAGGAGGTAAGACTTCTTTTGTGCCTCCCTCGTTACCTTGTTTTGTCATAAAATAGCAGTGCCTGTACTGCATGGTCACTTATTAACAGGTGGACTTTATGTTCGTTTGTCACTTTAGTTTTATAAGTAAAATTTATATCAAATATTTTATTACCTTTTCGGAATAGCAAATCATTTGTTTACCGCCTCCAGGTTGCGGGACTGGAACCGGTCTGTACCTAGCTGGCGCTGGGCACATGTTCTGAAACCATGTGTATAGTTATCACACACACAAACACGCACATACACATCAATATTTTAGGTCATTTTCTACTGTCCTATAAATCTACCTACACTGTAAACATAGAGTCACATGTATTTCCAATCCTTATTTAGTTGACAGTTTTTCTTCTTATCGCATTTTTTTGTCATACTCATATAATATACTCGTAAACTTCTGTACTGCTCGTGGTCTAAAGGAATGGCAAGGGAAGACATAGAGAGTATGTAATTACAGCCTGTGACACATTACGACATAGATCTCAGAGGTGATAACGCATCTGTAGCCATTGTTCCATTTTAAAGATAATTGCTGTTCCATTCCTAAAGGATCTTTCATCACCTAAAGTATACAGCCCACACCTTCGTCGTCGTTCGGACGTCAAGATCGGGACCACTTCAAGAGGACCCGTAATCGTCTGACCTTTTCTTTGGAGAAAAGTTGTTTGTTCATTTTGTTTGAAGTGTGTCCAGGTGTCTATGAGTTGCAGAAGTCATTTACCATCAGGTGGACTGTAAGTTCATTTCACACCTCAGTTTTATATAAAAAAATATAGTAGTTTTAAAAAAATTTAATCTTATTTTTAATAGAATAAGGTTGACAAACGAGCACTCAGTCCACGTGACGTTAAGTGGATGCTGTGCCCCATAGACATCTACATTTATCCTCGATTAAGAATTAAATGCATCGTTTCCCGTAAAAAGGGTCTCCAATAAGTTATTGGAAACGCAATTAAACTTCAGAGAATTGTTTCTAAATTGTATGTATTATTCAAAGTAATGCACCTTCCAACCTTATCCATCCTGATCGTTTTAAAAGTTGCAAAATACTCTTGGACAAAAATGTTTGATCATGGTTATAGAAAATGGCCTCAACAGCATACAAGACCTTATAACGTCCGTCAAATTTTATACCACACATGTGTTTTTTAAATTAGTAGAAATGTGAAAATCACTAGGAGAATATGCAATATCGACTAAAACCTAGCCGTTCGGATGGCAGCGCCTGAAACATCAGACCGATGTGCAGGTGCAATGTCATAATGAAAAAGCCATCCCATTACGAAATTTCCTTTATCGTATGAAAAACCTTCAGGGATGCACGCTCTCTGGTTATTGTCTGTCTATTAGATAAATAATCCATCATTATGGTTCTTCCGTAACCCAAGAAGAGGCCATTATTTTGCCAGCAGATGGAGAGACTTTCAATCTTTTGACTGGCGGGAAGGGGGGAGGGGATGTTAAATTTGTTTTTTATATTAACGTTATCATCTCATTACCTTCAGCTGCCCTTAAATCCTTAGCCTAACCTTAGCCTAAAAAACCCGGTTGATGTAATTTTTTTTGGAGGATGAGTCGCTCGCGTCCGTAGGCTTCGACCACCTAACCCTAGGCCCATCCTACACGTGTTCCCCGGGTGGTGCTAAACGAGCGACAAAGCCGAAAAGATAGACTCAGCTCCTCGTCGTATGGTAGCGGCGTAAAATCTATCACCCGTTAGTTCGCACCATGTGCAAACAATTAAAGGAAATGACCCCGAGCTCCCAGCGCCCGTTTAATGGGGCAGGGGTGCGCAAAGAATCTCCGGGAGAAAAACCGGCGACGAGGTTCACCACCCGTCATGTTCTGTCTCCCGGAGGGGCGAAAAGTGGATTGCGGAGGCCCGTCTGGCTACGCTGAATGTATGTGGAGCAATGAATGATAAGATGGATGAAGTATGCGAAATGATGAATGAATGAGGAATAGATGTGTTATGTGTAAATGAGACGAAAGGAAAGGGAAGAGATGTCATTGCACATGTCATGTATACAGCTTACTGGTCTGGTGTAGACGAGACCGAGCGGGCATGCCAGGGAGTCGGTGTCATCCTTTCAGAAAGAATGGGTCAATGTGTGAAAGAGTATGAATGTGTAAGCCCAAGGCTGTTGTGGATACGAATGAAAGTGGGCTTAAAGGAGTTGTTTCTGCTGGAGGTGTACCCCCAGATATGTCTAAGCCCACTTATATCCGAGAGCAGTTTTGGGACATGGTAAGGCTGGTGTTGATGAAATGTAAGGAAAATGAAAATATTATTATATTAGGAGATTTTAATGGAAGGGTTGGGGTGAAGAGGTCTGGTTATGAAAGGATATTAGGAACGTTTGGCGACGAAAGAGTAAATGAGAATGGTGAAGATCTTCTCACCGTATGTGTGGAAAAGAATCTTTTTGTGACGAACACTTTCTTTCGCCATAAGAGGATTCACATGTATACATGGGAAAGAGGGGATGATAGAAGCATGATAGATTTCATAATTGTGGATGTAAGAATGAGGAGCGCAGTGGTATATACAAGAGTTTACCGTGGGTCCAACGTAGGGACGGATCATTACTTGGTATTATGCCGAATTAATGGTCTATTCAGGCGTTGGCGGCATCGGACATCTGTGTCTACCACTGCGTTAAAGCGTATAAGAATAGAGAGGTTACAAGATGAAGGTGTGAAAGAGAAGTATAAATGCAGTCTGAGAGAAAATATAAGTGGTTTGAATGAATTATGTATGAATGATTTAGACTTGAAGACTGTATGGAATGATGTTAAGAAAGTTTTGGTGGCTGCAGCCACCGAAGTATGTGGTGTAAGTAAGAGGACAAATGAAAGGAAAAGTAATACGTTGTGGTGAGATGATGAGGTACGGATGGAAGTTGAAGCAAAGAAGAGAGCATGGCTAGATTTACTTGCAACCAAAGCTGGTAATTCTGGTGGTATGAATGATGAGATTGAAAGAAAAAAGGCAGACTTTAGAAGTATTAATAAGAGAGTAAAAGAAGTTGTTGAAAGGAAAAAGCAAGAAAGGATAGATAAGAATGATAGAAGGATATCTGATAACTTCCAGGCAAATATTAAAATGTTCTAGAAACTCGTAAGAACTGCCTGGGGAAATTCAAAACAGCCTAGAATGAATGCTATACGAGACGAGAATGGCTGCATTCTGAATGATGAAGTTTCGAATTTAAAAAGATGGAAGGAATATTTTGAAAGCGTGCTTAAGAGTGAAGTGTCGTCTGAATTAGGTGAAATAGAAATTCCGAGAGAAGTGGAGAGAGGTAGGGAAATAAGTGTAGATGAAATAATGAAAGCTATGAAAAGCATGAAAGCAAGTAAGGCAGTCGGATATGATAGAGTATCACTCGAAATGCTAAGGGCTGGAGAGGGTGCGGTTGCAGGCCTGCTGTACACCTTGTTTAATTTATGTTAGGAGCTGAAGTGGATACCGGAAGACTGGTGCAAAGCTGTTATGGGCCCAATATATAAGGGAAAAGGGTCACAGCAGGACTGTAAAAACTACCGTGGTATCAGCTTGCTAGCATTGTGGGTAAACTATTTATAGGGACTCTAGTGCTTGTGTTAGGATCAACGGGGTCTACTCGGACTGGTTTGGCATTCAAAAAGGTGTCCGACAGGGCTGTGTAGCTTCGCCGTGGCTGTTTAACCTATTTATGGACAGTTGTTTGCAAACTTTAAATGTTGAAGAATGTGGGTTGAGAATGGGTGAGTTAACCGTCAAATGCCTTTTGTACGCCGATGATCAAGGTCGAAGATCAAGGCCGAGATGCAAATGATGGTTACTTTAATGAACTGGTCATTAAAAGAAAGGGGTATGAAAGTGAACGCTAATAAGACGAAAGTAATGGTTTTTGAAAGAGAAGAAAGTAAATCGGATGAGTTTGTATATTTGGGATGTTTATTTAGCAGGGATGGTAGATATGATAAGGATATAGGACGACGAGTGAACGCAGGAAAAAGTGATTGGGGCTCTACACGCTATTGTGAAGAGTCAGAATGTGTCAAAGAAGGCACGTATGGCAATTCGTAATGCTGTGTTAGTCCCTACTTTAATGTATGGTAGTGAAAGTTGGGTCTGGCAGAAGAAGCATGAGAGTAGAATAAACGCTGTAGAAATGCGGTCATTAAGGAGTACGCTAGGGCTGAATCTGAATGACAGGGTGAGAAATAGTGTGATAAGAGGAAAGTGTGGTTTGCAAGATGACGTTGTGACCAGGATTAAGAAAGGAATGCTTCGGTGGTTTGGTCATGTAGAAAGAATAAACGAGGAAAGAGTGACATAGCAAATTTATGTTTCAGAAGTGAACGGCAGAGTCGGGAAGGGACGCCCTAGACGAAGATTTATCGACCAAATCGGCGATACATTGAAAATGGGCCAGATTAGGAGTACCTTTAACCGACGAGCGTGTATGCGTAGATATATGGATGTAAAGGAGGCGAGAGAGGTGTGTCAGGATCGTGCCAAATGGAAGTCCGTGGTCTCTGCCTACCCCTCTGGGTGACAGGCGTGAGTGTGTGTGTTGTGTGTAAATTTGAGCCTATATTTTGATCGTTTAATTTACGTAATTCTAAACCTTTACCTGCATTTGAAGAGCGTGACTATAATGTGCTCGTTGCTGGTAAGCGGTGCTCGGCTGTGGTGTGCTGGCCCCACTGCGTGGTTGTTGTTGATAGTATGAGTGCACTTGTCGGTCGTCTGGAAACGGGAAGCAGTCTGTTTAGTCTTTAAGATGAGTTCAAATTTCACTTATAACACACATTCTACCTTTAAAAACATTTTTCATCGCTTAGTTTGAAGTGTTAAAAATGGATACGATGTTGAAAATAATGTAGGTATTGAGGAGCAAGTAAATAACCTTTTAGAAAGGGCATAACACTACACTCAGAGCCGCGCAGCAGCCGTTTTGCATCATGAATTTGGCAGCACAAAAGAAAACATAGATAGCAAAAGTTTGAAGGCTCGGTAGTACATATATAGTAGCGTTTGGCTGCTGTAGGCCGTAAAGTCACTCATCGCACGGATAAATTATATTTGTATAGCCCTACAAATAATTGGTCCGGGTATGTTTATAAAAAGCCTCTACGCTACAGGACGAATTCGTTGTGTTTTACTGTCTCCTGAGCTTGGGAGACAATTAAAAACTTGAATTACCAAAATTGACACTTTAATTACAAAACACTAATTACAACTTAAAATCACACTAATAATAAAACACAACTGTTCTACTGATCACTTAAGTTCGCAGTTATATCGCTTCGAAGTATTCGCTTATATCACCAATTCAATACTGACTCGGTCGTGGTCAATACCGGGCATATATAGGGCCTCAGATAATTTCCAGAACCTTCTACTGTAGAAACATCTAGAATGTTCGAGTACATAGCGGTCCCGAAATTTCTTGAAGGATCTTGACCCTCCTAGTTCTGCTACTCAACACTAGAGGGCGCTAGTGGTAATTAGTGTTGCCATGTACAAGACATTAATAGTAGCGCGCAACAATATTTAATTAATAAAAGTATGCACCGTTGATATCTATCCACTTTTGCCATCTCATAGGTAGTTCATAGATCCCTTTACTAAAAAACCATGAGGGCGAGAATCAATAAACTCTCTAAAGGAGGTTTGGACTGCCGTATCGGAGTTGAATTTTTTTCCTTGTAAGAAGTTGTCCAAATTCCGGAAAAAATGGTAATCTGTTGGAGCAAGGTCCGGAAAGTACAGTGGATGTCGCAGACATTTCAATTGTAGCTCATCTAACTTAGTGGTTGTTTGTTGTGCAGTGTGTGGTCTTGCGTTGTCGTGTGGTAGCAGTGGCCTATAGCGATTGCCCAATCTCGAATGTTTAGCAGCTAGTTCTTTCTTCATACGTTGCAGTTGCTGACAATAGATATCTGCCGTAATCATTTGGCCAGATTATAGATTATAGAAAGCTGTAGTGAACGACACCGGCGCTAGTCCACCAAACACTCACAAGTAACTTTTTCTGAGTTAATTTTCGTTTAGGGCAGGATTTGGCTAGGTCTCCAGGGTTCAGCCATTGCGACGAGCGCTTCCGATTATCGTACAGTATCCACTTTTCATTACAAGTAAATAATTCGATCTAAAATCCCTTCATTATTGTGTCGGTTGAGCATAGTAACACAGCAGTCGACGCGTGTTTGCAAGTTCGATTTACTCAATTCATTAGGTACCCATCGTTAAAGTTTTTTTACTTTCCCGATTTGCTTCAAGTGTATTAATACAGTTTTATCACTTACATCGAATCCTGCAGCTATCTCTGAAGTGCTTTGTGATGGGTCCGCTTCCACAATAGCCTTTAATTCTTCATTTTCTACTTTGGTCTCCGGCCGTCCACGGGGTTAGTTCTGAAGGTCGAAATTTCCAGAACGAAAACGTTGAAACTGCTTGATGCTTTCTTTTGCGACACCAGCGCACCAAGCACTGGTGCCACGGTAGAACTCGTACTCGTAAATATGCCGATATTTCATGTTTTCCATTGTGCGGTAATAAGCGACGCCAAAGAAAAAATTAATGAGGAAAAACCAAACGAATGACTGTTTTCAAAACTCGAATTCTTAACCAAAGAGGAGATATTTCAGATCAAAGTGGTCAGTACGACATAACGCTAATTTCATATGTAAGGACCTAATATTATTATTACCTATTTTGAGGTATATAACATTATGTAGCTACTAATAACATAATCTAAAGCAGATAAAAATATTATTAGATAGCATGTAAATTAAAATAAAAAGCTGAGAACTATTTAGTGTAGTTTAATTGTTACATTCTTCAATTTATTAAAAAATATGAGCCTTTAAAATTGCTTTTAAGCGAAAGTAGATTGTCATGTCAAGATAACTAACTTATCTGTCTAAGACAGATATACAATAGGTTAAAAACGAGACCTTTCTAAAAAGTTAGCTCAAAGCGCACTGAATATTTACTTTATATATAAGTAGTCTATTGTAATTAGGTTTTTATTATCCATTATATAGGTATAATCAAACATTTTATTAGAGATAATGATAAACTGATATAATATTTATAATGATTTTTATTTATTGGTTTTTTTTTATTTACTGCGTTTATGAAAATTCATGTGGACCTTCCGTGATAGATGGAGCGATGACATACCCATGGGTATGTGAAACATACCCATGGGTATGTCAGCCCTCTGTTTCACATACCCATGGGTATGTGAAACAGAGGGCGTGCGTGAGATGCCTATGTCCAGCAAAGGGACGCCGTAGAATGATGATGAATGGTAGAAAATAGTGAGGATAAGAATTATCACTAAATTATTACGAAAGTTCTAAAATTCCACCTATTTCGACAATTAAAATCGAATGTAACGAAGAATCACTTCTGATAACAAAACCTATTTTCTATAAACATTAGTTTAAACATAATAATCTATAGATTACCATATATGGTCACCCGAGGCATGTGTGACAGTGGGGCAAGTGTAACAAATGCAAATTATGCGGCATAAACACGTTTTTCTTGTTAAATTCAATCTATTGAACAACGCAGGAATTTTTACGCTATTGACTTAGATTATTTACTCTCTGAAATTAGAGTAAATAATCTAAGGCTATTGACTATACCGACATTTAAGTACATAGCTTCAACAATTTTATTGACAGACGTCATATTTTAAAAAACTACTCAGACAATTTGCCTCATGTGGGGAAAAACTCATTGTTACACAAAAATTAACGTTCAAATCATTTAAAGATCTTAAACTATTTTGACATTAATATCATCTCTTCAATTTTGTCGAAAACCATAGATAATAATAAAGTAACTACAAAATAAGCGTATTGTCACACTTGCCTCATTAATGGGGTAAGTGTGACAGTCTTCCACGTCAATTAGTTTTAATTACCTTAAATTACAAAACGCTACTTGTAGATACTAAAATGTTTGATCAAACAATGAAGCACTTAATAATTAATGCTATGAAATTGAATTGTCTGTGTCCTTCCTTGTGCAAATCCTTAGAGAGTAAAAGTATTTAAATGTCCATTATAGTTTTAATGAATTTATGCCACACTTTCCTCGGGTAAAATATGATACTTATGCTTTTTAAGGAGTTAGCCAGCAATAATGGCTAAGTTTTAAGCTACTCGTACAAGCCGCATGATAAATGGCAGCAATATGTACCGCTATTTTGTTATTTCATGTTGTAATTAATTAACATTTTTTGGTCAATAAATACTAACGAAACAACTAAAATAACAAATAAATAATGTAAGAAATATTTACACTCACAATCATTGGCGGCCCAATGGGTAGGGTAGTCATGTTGATAGTGGTAGTGGGTGCTGTACGGCACGTAAAGCAGTTGATGATGACTACGGATCGGTGGTGGGGACTCCGGGCGTCTGCAACGTGCTGCAGTGCGTACTGGCGAAGTCTGCTCTGAGCTTGTTTGAGAGCTGTATAACTCTTGACTGCTGTCAGAACAACTGGAAATATTAACGGATATACTTACCTACTATAATTAACTTTTGTACATAGACAAATTTCTTTATGTTGCCAATTTTTATTAAAAAGATTAAGACAGAAAATAGAGTGATAAAAAGTGATCAGTAAAAAAATTATTGTACAAGAACAATATTAAAGTTGAATATTATAAGGCGACTATAGGGAATGACAGAAAAATATTTTGGTTTGGATTGATCACGAACCAGCGACGGACAACAGCATTAAAGGAGCGAGTCTTTTTTATTACGACTTTTTTTTAAATTAAAATAAGGGTGACAAAGGAGCACAAAGTCCAGCTGATGACAAGTGGTTTCTGTGGCCCATAGAGATCCAAATCTATTCTCAGTTAAGAATCAAAGTGCAGTTGCGTTGTCACCGTTAAGGCCTAAGATGGATTGCCTCGTTTCCATTAGAAAGGATCTCCAGTTCTCTATGTTCACCATACAAATTACAGTAACATTAAGCTGCTATTTGCTGGTAATCTGTGAGAGCGTGGTCCTTCCCCGGTCGAGCCGACTCATTCGTGCTACAATCATAATGTAGCTGCAACGTGGCTCTACGACGTATGTATAAACTTCTGTGATGGTTGGGCAAAATCCTCCCTGTAGCAGGAAAGTCTTGTGTCCATGTGTATAGTGAAGGTTTATTTCAATGCAAATACGTAAATTAAGTTTAGGACAGAGTTGGTTTTAAAAATATCCTACTGATTCTACTAAATCCTACTAATCCTCCTAATATTAGAAATGTGAAAGTTTATTTGGATGTTCGGTTGTTTGTAAGTTTATGGTTCAATCACACAAAACTTACTGGATGGATTTTGATGAATATTAGCAATAAAATACTCGTAGATTAAAGACCAGAATACGACATAAGATATATTATTTGTAAAAAAAGTTTTAGTCTGTCCCAAAAGTTAGAAGAATACCAATAAAATCTTCTCTTGGCATGTGCTGCGTAAACCATCATAGATATAACTATAAAACGTACTAATAAATCGTACTTCTTATCAATATTTTAAAAAAGGGCATCACAATAACTTTTGTATGGTTTATAAAATAAAATAAAATAGAAAGTATTATAACGCATTTTCTACTGACTTCAAAAAGGAGACGGTACTCAATTTGACTGTATGTTTTTTATGTGTGTTACCTCATAACTTTATACTGGGTGAATCGATTTCGATGATCCTTTTTTTATATGAATGCTGGGGCTTCGTCATCATCAAATTTATATCGGTGGTCCCGTATAAATTTGATTAAGGTTTAACTAATAGTTTTTGAGTTATTCTAATGTATATTGAAGTCGGTTGTACAAAAATTTTAATTTTTAATTATATGATATTATTAGTAGGGTGATTACTCCTCTCAAATGTGTCTCTGTAGTATCTGTCTGTAATATTTTATTTAGTTAATATGTACCTAGTGTTTAATTTCAATGTTATTGGACATTTCGTTTAGGCAACATTATGAAAGGAAATGTCACGCAAGAATATCCCGACAACCCGTGTATTACGAAGCTCCTCTCCCTTCCACTGTATGAACAACGAAGGAATCGAATGGATGATATCATCAACAAAAGTGTTAGGACCAGATGAGTGACTGATGGTCCGATGACGGAATGAAGAGGTAGAAATTAAGTCATTCCCGAAATGTTTATAAAGTTTTAAAATAAATACCCCACGAAGTATATAAAAATTATCTCCTTTAAAACGCTACATAATGTGATGAATATGCACTTTTTTTTACATAAAAGCAACTTTAGTGTACAGCTATTGAAAATATACCCATTGTTATCGTAAATCGACGACAGAAATCCAAACAGAGCGCACTTCGCCTGTAATAGTTGCAATATCCGGCTCAACGATTCAAGCGCTGAGCAAACAAGACTGCGAGAAAGTTTGCTTCAGTTTGCAATCGAGAGGTAGGTTGAAGGGTGTGGAATTGTCACACGTTAAAGTAACTTTTACAAAAAGTAATAAATAAATAAATAATAGGTACCGTGTCGTCGAATGACTGGCGCTTGTAATTAATCCAAACAATTTGTCTAAGTACTCCCGTGGAAAATGCGATAGAAAATACAATGGGATGCAACATCTCTTGGCAGCGTCAGTGAATCGAGCTGATTAGAAATAACTCGGTAATCGATGATTCGAGATACTCTTCGCTGAATGCTGTCAAGTAGAACGAGCTGGCACTGGGATGCCCCGGTCCAGAAATGAGGACAGTACTCCATATGCGGGCGAACTTGCGACTTGTAAAGTTGCAAACAGTGTGCTGACATGAAATATTGTGGCGCTCTGCTGAGCACACCAAACTTTTTAGCGGTCAATTTAGCCTTCCCATCCAAGTGACCGTAGAACTGTGCGTCGATATGCATTCGATATGTCGATTTCGAGGATTCCGATGCTTGCTGAGGCAGCATGGGAAGTGCTAAAATTAGGAGATACGATAAAGAAGTTCTTTTTAGCGGTAAACGCGCAAATCTTCGTCTTCTGAAGTTCAAACTAACGACCAAGGCCTCCCTCTAGGACTCTACTGCTTCCGCTCATTTATAAGTCAGGTAAATTAGAAGATTAGAACTAGAACTAAAACTGGTCCTCACGGTACCTTATGAGTTGGCAGTTTATAATGGATTCAATTATTTTGGAGAAAAAGAAGGCAATGGTGATAAGCAGTGACGGACGGACCAGAGCGGTTGTTATTTTAGGTATTGGGTGCTGTTTAGGCCAAATAATTAACACTGTAAAAATTTGCATTCACGACGCGCGCTCGACTCGTGCATCCGATGTTACCAAGGTCACCGTCGCCCCCCGCTCTCGTTCGCATTCCATTCGAGGGCGCGGCTGCCGATTAGTATGAAAAAGCGTTATGGCGCGACGGTCGGTCACGTGCCTCCTACGGTGTTATCTTAATTTGTTTTTCGTGATAACGAGGCTGGTCTTAAAGTATGGAAGTTAATTGTATATTGAACGCCGCGGCATTGTCGACTAGTATTGTTTGCGACCGCTGGGTTGGTTGCGCGCGGCCGGTCTAGACATTTTGACGGTCTAAAGTTTGAGTAAATTTTGCGCGCCTAATTTACTATTGAACATTTGGGTCTCGTGTAGACCGCCTCGAATTGATTTGTCTGATTTGTACGTTTCGTGACGGGAGGCTTGAATTAGGTCTGAATTATTAACTTAACTTTGATTGACATTAATTTGATTCGAGGAGTTGCTTTGTGGCATTTTAATATCGTACGAAAGAACTTGGCTTGGTCGGGAGAACGCTTAACTTTGTGACTCGAGAAGAGACCGCGTTCATTCCCGTGTTTGTAATTCTGTGCTAAGTGAACCCGGAACATTGAATATTGAACTTTGACCGACATTTCTATACTTGTGTTTTGGTTGACTTTGAAGCTAATTAAATGTACCATAAAGTTGATAAACTAATACAGTGAAATATAAGCAGAAGTTTTCAATTGGTGAACGCCCCCCCCTTGAGGGATCTTACTTTTGGAGAGAAGCAGCGCTTGTGGATCTGCGGTCCGACTCCAACGTTACATTGTACACACTATTACACACTACTTACATGCACATCACTTACCACCTGACTGGTACCCTGTGGTCAACCCTACCTCCGGAAATCGGTAAGTGGTGCTTGCTTATTTGCAATTAAATTAGAATAATCCATAGGCCGTTGGGCTCGAACCCTCGGCTGCTCGTCGAGGAGGCTACTGTGGGCCCAGGCGACCTTTGCCGGGGCAGTTGGGAGCCGTAACAGGTGCACTCAAGCTGTTTTACGCCTACGGGGTAGGAGTATCTGAAAATACGCGCTAGAACCGGTACTAACTCCGGAGCACTCGCGACATGGGCCAGTGAGTCGTTCTCCCTGTGCAGAGATGGAACAGATAGCTGACAGAAATTATCTTGGACAGCCTTGGCAAAACTCCTTAATAAAACTAGAGGTAGAGAAGAGAGCTTCAGCAGTTTAAAATCTTTGAAACACGTCAGTCGACGAAAGATGAAAAGTACCAACTAATTCAAAGTCTTATTTTTACAATCTATTTATTTGTTTGGTACCAAAAATAAAGAAAGAGCAAGAAGTAAAATACTTGCGGCACTTACTCTATTTACTATTATTATACCAAATTTTATTTTGTACATAAGTGATACTTGCAAAGGCAAACTCAACGCCCCCTGCAACCTTGCGCCCTAGGTTCCAGTCTAGTTAGTCTGTGGGTAAATCAGGTCCTGATTGCAGCGTAAATAATCCATTGCCGTGCATCGTCGCGTGGGCTTAGTAAGAGGCGACACAGAGACAGTATCTTCCTGGTAACAACTCAAAATAATTAAAAACTGTTTGTTATCTGCCATCCTAACTGTCAAGCGTGGCAACTATGGCAAATATGAGCCCTATGAGACCAACTTATGTTGGGTTGTAATGAATGCATAAATGAAAAATAAAAATTGGACGTAACCTCAATTGTAGACGAAAGAGTGACAAAGCAAATGTATGCTGCAGAAGTAAGCGACATAGTTGGCAAAGATCGCCTTAAACGGAATTTTATCGACCGAATTGGGGATATATTGAAAACGGGGCAAATTAAGAGCACCTTTGACCGACGAGTAAGTATGCGTTTATTTATGAATATAAAGAAACAAGAAGAGGTGTGTCTGGATCGTGCCAAATAGATAATAAAAAAGTATAAAAAAGTCCGTAGTACCTAATTGCCTACACCAACAAGGGTGAGGGGCATTAGAGTTTATGGTTATGGTTATGAAGTCTAGATCTATTTGTAGATTTAATGTGATGGATGCTACATAATTTATAGTTTATATGATTATGAAAACATTGTCAAATAATTATTATAGATTAATATGATGGTGTAATTATATAGTATATGATGATGGGGCTGATGTGACATATCCGTACAAGATTAAAATAATATAAGCTGTTATCCACCTGCTGGGCTGGCGTAAAGTTTAGTTGAAATTGTTGTG